GGTTGGAAACAACGAAACTTCAAAAAAAGCCTTTAAGTCAATTTTAAGCATCCTGCATACAAGAATTTTCTTGACAATTCCATTAAAAATTCAATTTTTTTTCTTGTAAATTGCATTACATTTTTTCTCGAAAGTGAATTCATACATGTGTTGATAGTTCAAATTATTTTCGTTAAAATCTCTTTATTTTAAAAATTCCAAAAATCTATGCATTTAAGACACAAAGGTTTTCGTTTAACATTACACTTCAACAAAATTTCGTGTCCGTTTCGTGCCCCAACAATCGTGACCCTTAACAAAGCGCTCGAGGACAATAGATATGTGATGCATTACGTTTTTTAGGTTCAGGTGAATAGCATTATTTCTTGCAAAGTTCACTTCAACGTACGTGTACATATCTTGGCAATTTTCTGGGCGTATACACCATTTCAATTACATTTCCGGAAACATGTTTAAATCTTGGTTCACACTGAATTTCGATTGCATTGTTTTCGAATCTCCTTTATTTCACTAGCCTTGGAAAAGAAGTACATAAAGGCATAATACAATATTTGGAGGGGCTGTACAATGTAGTATTTTTCTGTTGTATTTTTCTACAGTTCTTCGTTTTACGCGATGAAATTGCAAAGGTTTTGCTAGTTTATAGGGATTACAGAAATCCCCTCCCGAAATGCCGTCTGCAGAACGTTCATTGTACCACTACTCGCTTCTACTACTGGAAATTAGTAACCAGATGTCATGATATTTTCTTCTGTATTGCCTCTGTATATTCTCAGGAACACATTTCATAATGATGTAAAACACTGACATTCCGCACGTACACCATGTCCTCCGTATTTACACCACGTCTTCTGTAAAGAAGCCCACCATCCGGCGTCTAAAAAGCACATGAGCCGTCGTGTTTTGTCGAAACACGAGTTGATATTTTTTTAGTATTTGTTAAGAGCTCGTGTTCCTAAGCCAAACATTAGTTGCCAAAAATATCTGGAAGTTACTATAAATTATCACTATTATCAGTATTATTTGGAAGAACTGGACAAAGCTGCCCCCACCCAAACGCACACTTTAAATCCTCAGTGCACGGCGGGGGTTTCAATTGGCTTTTCAAGCCCATGTTTGGTTGCGTTTGAACCGATATTACAGAACGAAAAACCCCTCTGATGGGTATGCCATTACGACAGTATATTCATTTCCCTGTACGGATGCACTACACTTCATAACACAAGAGTGTCAATACTTCTAATTCCCAACGCGTGCAGAAATTGCGAGAAACCTCTGCAGAATCCGCTAATGAGACAGGCGTCTATTGTATTTGGTCAGACACAAAGGAACTACGCGAAAATCCCGTTACCAATGAAGAAGTCTCGATTTTCACTGAAAAAAGCGAATATCTGAATGTGTTAATGTGTCGATTATTATACTGCCCGAAACGACTTGATTATCACACTTAGTGCGTCACGGTCTATTACACCGCTGAGGTCATGCGACATCAAGGCTCCAAACAATAACTCCTCCGTATTAAATATTTGCTATTCGTACAATTTGTATGTTGCGATAACTTCTTTGGTTTCTAGGTTTCTTCTGGTATCTAAAGAACTACGGACTCGTATCCTTCTGTATAAATGTTACACTATTTTATTTCAGTGCCCGTTCGGTTACAATATTAAAATTATTGCAACGAGAGTATTCTATTGGTTGTTCTTGAGTACTTTGCACGCTATTTTTCAGAAAAACACTACGTGTGGTTTTCTTCAGCAGTATTCTTTCTGCTACAGAGCACTACCAACGAAAACCTAAACACCAGCTACACAGTACTTAATTCTATTTGATAGTCTTGAGTACTTTGCGAGCTATTTTTCAGAAAAACACAACGTTTGGTTTTCTTCAGCAGTAATCTTTCTGATACAGAGCACTACCAAAGACACATAAGCAAGCAGCTTCATAGCACTCACCACAACGTGCCCGCGGCCGGAGGCGTCGTCCACCCACGCCACAGCCATGTCGGCGCCGGCCATCCCGCCAGCGGGCGAGAAGCCCACGCCAAGCCAGCCCAGCGTCCGCGCCTCCACGCGCAGCACAGCCTCAGCCCCACGCAGCGTCCACGACAGCCGCACGCGCTGCTCGGGCCCGTCCAGCCACGCCCACCGCTCCCACGCCTCCCGAAAAAGGGGAAGGAGTTTTAAGCACAAAAAAACCCGCCCAGCCACGCCCCACCCCACCGCTCACACGCCTGCCTCAGGCCACTGCGGGGACAGACCACACTCTCAACACAAACCGCCCGGCCCCACGCCCACCGCCTCCCACGGCTCTCCCGGCACCTGCGACAGACACTCTCTCAACACCCGCCCAGCACGCCAGACGGCCCCACCCGCTCCAACGCCTATTTGGCACTTGTGGCAGACAACACAACTAACACACTAGCCAGAACATAACAACCACATCCACGCTCCCTCCGGACGTGCGACAGACACAC